GAGGAACGTTGCTATACCCTTGACAGCTATACCCTTGACACGCACCTCAGCCCCATATCTACCATGTGAGCTTCACTTCTTCCTAGAATTTCTCCCCCTTCTTTCTACCTAAACGATGGCATTGGTAGCTTTCATTCTTTCTTTTTATTCAACATGCCTATCGCGTCACCCGACCGATTTGTACCCTTCCGCATGCCAATTGGAGACCGTTTCCGAGCCACCAAGCAAGCCCACGAGTTATCGCCATCAGAGCGGCTACATCGCACAGATGACGCTGCATCCGACGTCTTCTGCTTCACCCCAAAGCGTCCCACCCCCGTTTCCTCCCGATGGGCATCTCGATCTGATAGCAATCAGCGGCGTGTCGGCACCGTTCTAGGGCTACATAGCCTCGAACAACGACAGGTCAGCAACGGCGCTGTCTGGTCTGTAGGCGGCCTAGCCCCCGGAGGAGTTGAGGATGGGCACGGCCGCCGTGTGAGCTCGGGGACAAACGCCCGCCTCTACACCACCTCTTTTTCAAACACGCGTCCTAAATCCGAAGAGGACCAGGATAAACACGAAGGCCGACTCGCTCTAGCTTTAAAGATAGATCGGGTCCAGCGGATACTAGACTTTGACGGATATTCCACCTTTCCACGCTGCAAACACAAGGTCAGACCATCGCTGCGAGAAGCTAAGACAATATGGACAGGAAGCGAATGGAGTAACGATTACCATGTCCCAAGTAGGCAGCCATTCCCCACCCTGCCAGCACGTTAATGTGACTGATGCATCTACAGGAATTCAGAAGGGAGAACGATGTCTCCCCAATGCCCCATTCAAGTTCGTATATCATTCAGATGACTGGCCGACCAGTCCTCACATTAACAATCTCCAGGGTTCTAGACGCCCCAGGCCTTCGAGACGATTTCTACTGTTCTATAATGGCTTATTCTCGAACGTGTAACACTTTGGCTGTGGGCCTGGGCAATCTCCTTTACGGGTGGTCCGAATCCTCAGGTGTTACGCTCCTAAATACAGGGCTCAAGGATGGATCCTGGCTTACCTCAGTGGCATTCTCATCCGACCAGGGCGGCAAATCAATCCTAGCCTTTGGTCGTTCGAGTGGGCTGCTCTCCTTGGTTTCGCTCTTTGACAGTTTACTTCCCCGCTTCGAAGTATATCACCCTGAACCGATAGCCTGCCTCTCCTGGCGTCCAACCGCCACTCCCCGACCCTCTCGCAACAGGCGTAATCCGGGTGTCCTAGTCAAGACAGAGGACCTTCTCGTAGGAGATGATATAGGCGATGTCTACTACTACTCAGTCGAGTGGCCCGAGCCCTAGGAAGTGGCTCGGGAAAATTGGCGCGGGGCCATGACTTTACTCGCTCGTATCAAGGTCCATTCTCAGCAGATATGCGGTCTGGCCTGGTCTCCCGATGGTGAGCAGTTTGCCACTGGTGGGAACGACAACTTGTGCTGTCTCTTCAACGTCAGTAGTGTTACGGACCAGGAGCTCAGCACAAAACTAAGCCCAGAAGTGCCACTAACAAGGAGCTCGACAAAAAGCGGAAGGGGTCTCGATGCTTCATACACCGAAGGCGAAGGAGTTGCCCTCTCGCTCTCGTCTTCATCGCCGAGGTTGGCGTCCGAATGTCCCAACCCGCTATCCGACATGAAATGTTTACCAGCTAGTTCCGAGAAACATCGATGGCGTCACGGGGCGGCTGTGAAAGCCATTGCGTTCTGTCCGTGGCGGCAGGGGTTGGTTGCTACCGGCGGGGGATCCAACGACAAATGTATTCACTTCTATCATACGAATTCAGGGGCGGCGCTCGCTACTATCTCGGTTGCGGCGCAGGTGACGTCTCTCATATGGAGCACGACTCGGCGGGAGATCGCCGCAACATTTGGGTATGCTCAGCCCGATCATCCGTACCGCATCGCCGTGTTCAGCTGGCCCGATTGTCGGCAGGTAGCGGCCGTGCCGTAGGAGGGCGAACATCGCGCGTTGTATGCCATAGCGTACCCTGGCGGCCCGAGTGATACGTACCGCACAAAAGAAAGATTGAAGAGCCGGACTGCCGAGGAGGGCTGTATAATCGTGGCAAGTAGCGACGAGAGCGTCAAGTTCCATGAAGTCTGGGTGGCAGGCCGCAAAGCTACTACCCTTGGTAGCGGTGTCTTAGCTAGAAGCGACATCTTGGAGATGGGAGAAGGTATCGACAAAGAGGGTGACGTGATTCGCTAAGAAACAAAGCAGCAGCATGGCATAGTTCCGCAGTGGATGCAGTGTATTAAAATGCCAGGTCATGTAGCAATAAATAAAACATTCCCTCCGGGGAATAAGTAAGCGTTGCAGGTTCTCGTGCTCATGTTATGTTCCAAGACTGATCTTTACGGGAGGAGCTCTTAAGTGTAATTCTCAATATCATACGCGCCCAACTTAGGTGCACACTTCGGCATTCTCACTATGTTCAACTAGGTACTGTTAGGTGGCCTTTGGTATAATAACAGGAGCCCTAAACTCATTCCGTACATGCAATAGGTAGAGCAATCGTCACTATAGATAGACACTTGATCTTGCAATGACATGATAAATCAAGTGACGGTACTCGGTGACGAAATAGAATGGACATTTAGAGATACGTGCATGCAACGAATGTATGTGTATACATGTATGTAGTATGTATGTACATAGGCAGAATACATGAGAATTGTTGGCTTATTGATTATGTCTACTACATACATATGTTATGTGCAAGGAACGAAGGAAGGTTTGTGAAGGTGGCAGAATAGCGTCAGACTAAATGGCCCATGTGCGACTAATACTGTAAGAAACGGTGCATTTTGTCTAAGAAAATTGCATAGTGCATTACGGTGTTAGTCGCACATGGGGCACTTAGTCTGACGCCCTTCTGGGTGGATCCTAAAAGAAGATAGCACTAATCTACTTTCGGCTCGGTCACGTTCCCCCAAAGTTCAGTCACCCTGTCACCGGTCACTGGATCCTCGCAACCTAGACACGCCCCGCCTTGTCCCGCCCCGCCAATATCCATGGATGCGTAAGTACATACGGTACAGTACGGTAGGCAGTAAGGCAGTACCTACCAACCACCAGTTGTCTATTGAATTAGGTACCTAAGGGCTTGCTAAGCTTATCGGTGACTATAATCAGTGGCTCAGCCAGTCATTTGAGGGACTGCTTTTAACTTATAATTTTTTTGGTCATCAAATCCATCCATAATAAGGTATCACCTGCACTCGAAAGGTTGCCTTAATTTGTTCCTGCTGGTACCGTACTACTACTACTACTACTACTACTACCTACTACTACCTACTACTCCTCCCTCATCCACCCCCCCACGCAAACCAGCCGTTGCCTTGAACCTAAACCACAACACCTTTCCATCGTCATCAACCTGAATTGCTCATCTTCTTGACTTCTCTACTAAACCCGGCCGTCTATTTCTTTCGACAACCCTCTCAACGTTTCTCATTGTCAAAGCAAAAACAGCAGCAACCAAGGAAGACATTTATCAAGATGCGATCCAAGTTCAAGGACGAGCACCCCTTCGAGAAGCGCAAGGCCGAAGCCGAGCGCATCCGTCAGAAGTACGCCGACCGCATCCCAGTACGTATTCATCTCCTTATTCCTTCCACCAACCTCTATCTCTCCCCTCTCTCCCTCTCTTTTAATATTCATTGTCTCTCTCGAGACCACAGCCATACTTACCTTACCTATCACGATTAATACCGTTCCTATTCCCATCCGGCGCGATCCCCCACCATCTCACCGCTTTGTTTGTTCTTGTACTCCGTTACTTCAATCTTCTGACAAGTTCTGCTATGAATAGGTTATCTGCGAGAAGGTCGAGAAGTCTGACATCGCTACCATCGACAAGAAGAAATATCTGGTACCCGCAGATCTCACCGTAGGCCAGTTCGTCTACGTGATCCGAAAACGCATCAAGTTGTCTCCCGAGAAGGCCATCTTCATCTTTGTCGATGAGGTACTCCCCCCAACCGCTGCTCTCATGAGCAGTATCTACGAAGAGCACAAGGACGAGGACGGGTATGTTTACCTCAGAGCTCTTATTGTCTACTCTTTGCAAGCTAACTACCCTTCTAGATTTCTCTACATCACCTACTCGGGCGAGAACACGTTCGGCGAGGCTGCCTAAGGGCCTCGACCATTTCCCAACTCCCCCCCCCAACGGCGTTATGGTTTATTCTGGGCTGGACGACAACGATGTGATTATTAGTGGCGATAAACAAACTATGGATAGGGCAGGCATAATCATTGCAGATGGTTGATATGAATTGCGTCTTTCCGACTACTCACATCACAGCCCTACAGGTGTAGATGACATCAGTCTTTGATTTTCGTATCATCAATACCAATGTGGCTTCTGTCCACCAAGTTGCTCTCATGTGGTCTCCAGTGTAAACCGCCTTGACTTAATGCTTTCGTAGGAGTATCTGATTGCCTTCGCCTGCTCGTAAGGAGACTCATACAAATGACCCGTCGTCTACGAATAAGCTCCAAAGCCTACTGCCGAGCATAGGGTACACAGCAGGTACCAACGGATTCTTTATCATCCAAGAAATATCCCTCCTTCTTCCGGGTTCTATTCTAGTTGTAGACGAAATAGACTGCACAAGTTAACGGCTAACAAGAACAACATCTCGTGACCAGATCGTCACGCTATCGGCAGTAATAAATCAAAGTGAGGTGTACTAGAATAAGAACCAAGGCTAAATAAGCAAAAATCCGTAGAAGTAGAATATCCATATGACAATGTCATGAACAAGAGGGTTGCCAAGCATCTAACCTAGCCTGCCCTGCCTGCCTAGGTCCTACATAATAAGCAGCGGATACAGTATCCACCTCAGCCATACCCACATCTAGCAAATAACGATGAGAAGGCCGATCCCCCTAACCCTACCTAGGTAGCTGCCTAGTATGACCGACTTAGGGCATCATAGCAGCCAGCTCGCCAACGACTAGGAGACGGGTGAGATGGCCGAGTGGTTATGGCGCTGCGTTCAGGTGAAGCCTGAATATACATGTCCTGTATACCTCCATCTATCAAGATAAACAGCAGATGAACAGAAAATATCGCAGTGGAGCAATCCGCGTGGGTTCGAGTCCCACTCTCATCATCGTTTAACTCTTCACCAGACCAAGGGCTGGCGTAGAAATTATCTTTTTAACAATTTTCTCTCGCTTACCGGTTTTACACCTCCTGGTGAGTTGCCCTAAGTGGGCAGCAGTCACCTGTATATCAGATTATTTTGTTCCCATATAATACTTTAGAGTCCTCGTCTAGAGAGCGTGGTCGCCAATTTCTAATAGCCCAACGACAATGTTAACTTAATTGATAATTCCGCTCAAGTCAATAATATAGTTCTTCTATACCTAACCCCGTCTGACTTGCTATACAATGGCTTGGACTTATACTATTCTAGGTAGTAGTCAGCCATCAAACCATCAAACCATTCATGCGAGCTTAGCTCTATTTTAACTACATCATATACGCATAAAGCAAACTCTACTACATAGGTAACTATTGACAAACTCCCTAAATAAGATATACCGATAAACCGTTTTAACAGACTACCTACGCTGTCGATAAGATTCAGCACTATGCGCCTCGTCTAGATATTCCAATGTCAACCTAGGTATTCACAATACCTACCTGTCACTTCGCACGTACTCTCCCAACAAACCATAAAATAACCACCTGAGTCTAAAACAATACTGTTTCCCATCAACGCAACCCAGCCTAGGTATTGGTATTCATATTTTCCTCGGGTGTCCATGCAAAGCAGCTAAGAGAATACGACTACCTGAACAAGATAGTTGGTATATGTCCCAACTTCAACATTGCACACTTCAATCAGATTCTTGTCCACATGGGTTTTCCAGATGGAAATGCTACCTTGCTCGGCTTGTTCTGTGATCTCGGCTAGAATGAGAGATGCATGCTAAGAGTAATCCTTGAGGTCTCTCTGTGTTAGCTAATTTAAGTACCCATAACCCGTATATATTATATAGGTATATATATAATTGGAACTCTTTAATTCAAACAGTACCTATGCTCCATCGTAACATTGTGTATACCCCAGTAGTTCTATGGTAGATACCACCTTTACTGCGACGATCCCCTTAAGTCCTAGCCTTATCTAATTCAACTATTTAAACCATAGGAAAGGAAATACAAGTAGTTCGAACAGTACCGACTAGGCATTCATAATTAGAAGGGAAACGAATAGCGCGAAGTCCACAATCATCACGTATGTCATAACTCGCCTTATCGAAAGACGCCAAACCCAGACCTTGCTGAGGTATTTGTTAATAATAAGCCTATAGTTACTATTACTTGAACTCGCAACGATAAGAGCTATATGGCGTTATCAGATCATTGACCACAAGCTTAAGAGTTACAAGAAGGGTCTTAACATTATGGAGCAAATCTGATCGCAATTTCACGATAATTCAAGGTAAACCCTAAAATGATTATTAAGAGAAATTGCTTACTACATGTAGTTATATGGGATTATTTATATCGCTTTGGCTCGACTTAGAACCGCTAAAACTACTACTAATAGCGAATACGTCTAAACAACGCTGATGGACTCGGTAACCATCCTTTGATTCATATCTTAGTTATTAATCATACTCGTCCCGCCATCGAAGAAACAGATTTCTGAATTTTTCAACTTAAATACCTATTGCTTAACTTAGGTAGATATTCTTGTTCGCATGTCCATGGCACCAAAAGCACACACATCGATTACCTCATGCCAGCTACAAAACGATATTATAAGGGTATGAGAATGCGATTAGATACCAGAACAATGTTCGGTAAACCTTTTACGAATCACCACCAATTCCAAGTTCAACCTTAGGTCTCACGTGGATAATACTTGTTGGATAGTGACAGACCACCCCTTTTTCAGAGGCATCTCTTAAAACAAACTCGTATTTGCTCATTCCAAGCAGCATTAACCTCCTCTCTATGGCCAGCTCTATCTTATGATTGTCTCTATATGCTACGGGCTTTGATGCGAAGCCATGAACATATATGATTACTGTACCGTAGGTATTAATGAAATTACCCTGAAATGACTGCTATTTACTAACTGTTCTCCCGTTTTCTGGCGCACACATCATCTTCTCGGCTCCGTACCTACTAATGTAGATACCTACCTTTATAAGTTTCCTTCTAAGTAATAAAAGAGAAATGCGATGATTGTGCGAAAGAAGAAAAATTACTCCTACCTTATAGGATTATAAGCTACCGAGGACTTCGTCACAAATGGTAAACCCGTTTTTGAGATAATTTTTTTTTGCCTATCTCCAAGAATAAGAAGCCTCGGTGTGCGTTGCTCTGCCGATGCTTCTCCCCTACTTCTACAGTAGTCCTTGCACCTGACAAATTTTGCCCGAATAAGCCAACAGAAAAAATAAACTAAAAATAAAAAATAAAAACAAGTGCGGTAGCTCGTACATAGAGCGTAATGCTAGGGTGGTAGCTGGGAATATCGTACACGAGGTGAATACCGGGAACCCTTGCTCGCAGTCACCGGAATTAATAACATTCCTTCAACCACGTATAACCACCGTAAAGTCTCGAAGCAAATGGATTAACCGCGGACCAACGCCGAATTTTCTTTGCTTTCCCGCTGGGAAAGGACATGGAGTTTACATAGAAAAATCAAATAATTAGGCCGGCAATGTCAGAACGTCAATCGTGGGTGAAAATCGCCGAGTGCCTCCAAACCTTCCGAAGCCCCCAAAGTCATGCAAGTTCCTGAACGTCCAGCCGATGTAATGATCCGTAGAAAATAGCCAAGCCAAGGCCGAACAACAGTACAGAGTGCTGTATCCAAAGGCGACGCGTATGCTAACTTCACTGCTTCTTTTCTCGAAACACCGTTATTCAAAGAATGGTATGGACACCATGTTTAGCTGCCCTTCAAACGCTTCGGTATTCGAGGCGTCGGGGGCTTCTTGTTAGCCATTGTCACACCATTGACCTGAGTTCCTCCTATACTTGCAGGTGTCGGCGCACCACTTTCCTCCTCGGTCTTGACGGTCGACGGTCTCCTCCGCTTGTTGCTCGCTGGACTTGTATTGGCGCTGGGTCCACTAGAGCTTGTCCCTTGTTGACTTTGTTGCAGCTGCATCCCTGGTGCTTGCATGTGTCCCTGAGCAGGGCTTCCTATGTGGGGCGAGTTTGGAAGTTGTAGATGTGTAGCTGCCGGTGACGCACCCATGGGGAACTGGTTGAAGCTGGGTGTCCGCGGGTTCGGGGGGCCGTTGCTCTGGGATTGACCGTTTACTACCGGTTGCTGCGGACCATTGGTGATATTTTGACTGACATATTGCTCAAGTGCTGCATAAGGGGATAAGCCTGGGTGTGTGTGGTAGAAGTTGAACAATGGCTGAACGTGTTTGTAGATTAGTAATGGCGCCAAATATAGAAAACCGTTAAGAGAACGTATCATCCTCTCAGGGGTTTAACTCACATTCATCTGTCCAACGACTTCAATAATCTAGAATAGCGAGTAAGTGAAACCATATATGGGAATAAGGATGGCGCGGAAAATGCATACCTCGAGAAACTGGAACACGGCTTCCGTTATGCCTATATTCTGTTTGACCGCTGACTGGGGCAAGTCGATATCAGGGGGTGGATTTTGAGGTGACTTCATTGGTTTCGCTTTCCCCTTTTTACTCATCTCCGGAGATAATCGCGAGTCCTGGCCGTTTACCTTGAGCCAATCCTTGACCCAATTGTGCGCCGGTTTTGCCGCCTCTATCACCATTTTCCTCGAGTGATACTCCTCGTGTCCCTGCGTGATGAATTCTAGCAGCTCTAATTTTTGTTCGCTATCAAATTGGGCGCGAAGAGTCCCAGTTGCGACCACCTGATCACGCAACCGTCAGAATCAGGTCACTCGAAGCCTAGCTGGCACCAAAATCTGAACGACTTACGTGGGAGTTGTCGAACCAGTAGGTTAAGCTCGCCTTCTGGTTCTCGATGAAATGACAGCCATTTGGCAAAGGTCTGTCAGTAATGCCCTTTTCAAAAGTCAAGTTAATTCTCCTGACACCGCTCTCAAAGTGCGTGTGGAAATATCGCGCCAGGGCGGGCTGTGTTATCTCGTGCTGCTTGTCTGCATGTTCCTCGTTCGTCGGATCGGTGCCGACATAAAATAGGGACAGTCTAAAAACGCCCCTCGGCGAGAAAAATTGCGTGACGAAATTATTCCAGTATGTTAAGTCATCCTTCGTTCTCGAGCCCTGTGGAGTGCAATATGTTAGTGGTGGCTTGTCAAATCACAGCGGGAGGAGCCGGAGAGGATAGAGGCAGGCTTAATTGGTACTAACAGGATATCCGCTGAGATGTTCACCAAATTGGAGTAGCTTTAATAGACAATGACCCTTCAAGCCGTCATTCTTGTGCTGTTGTTGGTGGAGTAATTGCTGCTGGATGTTGTTTGGGAGCTGGAGGTGCTGGCCTGGCTGCAATGGTTGAGTAGTAGGCGGTTGAGGCTGGTTCTGTTGACCATTTAATGGCTGCCCCTGACCTTGGGGTTGTTGCGGCTGATTGCCTTGCACTGGAGTTGGCCCCTGATTTTGTGCCTGGTTCGGTTGCGCAACTGCTGGCGTCGGGGCTCTCTGCGGACCCTGAGAACTCGGTTGGGGCTGCTGACTTGGCTGTGAACCAGGCTGTTGTTGTTGTTGTTGCTGTTGCTGCTGCTGTCCCGGTTGCTGTTGCGGCTGGGGTTGCTGGCCTTGCTGCTGTGGTTGTCCCTGAGGTTGAGGCTGTGGTTGAGGCCCTTGTCCTTGGGGGCCTTGCTGGGCTTGTTGTTGTGCCGCCATAGACTGTGCTATTTGGGCTTGCTGGAGCTGCAATTGCTGAGGAGTCAATTGTCCAGGGTGGCCGGGTTGGTTACCTTGGTGCATATGACTATTTGCTTGCTGTTGCTGTTGCTGCATTGCTAGTTGATGGAGCATCTGTCGTAATGTTAGCGTCGCGATAGAACCAAGGGAATTGTAGGGCGTAAATAAAGCTATATTACCTGAGCATGTTGGGGATTTTGATGTTGTCCTTGCTGAGCAAGATGCGCCGGCTGAAGATGCTGGGGCA